TTAAATTAACACAGCCTTTATAAATTGGCTACACCACACAACTCAAAATACAACATTTACAATTATTTTTAAAATGGTATGCCATCATGGAGGCAATTCCCTTTCTTAGGGTACCATGTCCTCTCAAAGGCGACATATGTGCAGAAAATCACTTTGTTTTACAAGTTAAAACGTATTTAAGGCTGGACCTGTAATTGTGGGAGGGGCTTGGTTCCCTTTTATATACTCGCCGAGTATACACAGATAGTCCAGCATCCCTTAAAACCGGGACTACTCCACGAATCACAGCCGGACATCATCCTCTTATACATTATCTATTCCTGAACCGGTTAGGGATTCATCAGGCATCTCGTGTCATATCCAAGTAATATTGAGGTATTGTAGAATATATATATGTATATATTTGTATGGTACACTTCTTTTTGCCCTCTTTATTACAGGCCTACTGCATTGTCGGTTCCGGCACTCCACAACTGACTGGTGCTATTGACTAAGATATGTATTGCTAATTATGTGTTATCTAACCTTTACGGCAATATTGCCCCGACCACAAATATATATATATATATATACATATATATATCTATATATATATATATATATATATATATATAAAATACAAATATGATTGTTTTAGAGCAGTAAAATGTATAATGACAATGCTGTTATAAGTAAAAGTGCAGTTTTTGTTTGTAAAAGCAAACAACAAATATGAATTTAGGCCAGGGTCTGTGACTAAGTGGCTTTTAAAAATAATTAACATACTCAATTTTTAATACTCTGGATACTCTTGCAAATGGAATGCCATGGATATTTTCATTTTTGGACTGCTATACCGTCTCAAATGAAACATAGATGCAGCAAACTTTTCTGGCAAATTTCAATGAGTAAAATCTGAAATAGGCAAGCCCTGTATTTGACCCTGTAACTTTCCAAAACACCATGAAACCTGTACATGGGAGTCATCATTGTATTCGTAGGACAGCACAGCAAACAGATATGTGTATTTCATTGCAGTAACACAGTATTCTAATTCACAGTTAAAATGCCTTGAACTTGGAATATAACAACATTTGCTAATTTTTCACACTTTCGATTCATATTAAACAATGTTATTATTTTTATTATTATTATTATTTATATAGTGCCAGCAAATCCCATAGTGCTGTACAAAGGGAGTTGTCCTGAACAATATGATATATAATCAGTCTGGATGCACTTAAATTATTATAATAATTATAAAAATTTAATATGAAATAAGTACATTATGGTTGTAAAAACATATAGCTCAAATTCTAGTTTTGGTTGGATTCAGAACTTGTATAATTGCTTCCATTCTTAAAGGGACACTCTAGTTACCATAACAAATTCATCTAAATGAAGTGGGTGCACTCATACCTTAAGAGGTTAAACTGTTGTGACGTCTTTTGTCCTTGAACAGCTGGAATCTTCTTGGCATAGAGTTAACAACTACTTATTGCCACATTCATGGAACCACCCTGAGATGCTTTGTGACATGGCACATTATTCTGCCAAAAGTAGCCATAATTATTTTGCAATAAACAAATCCTGATTTCCAAACTTTCAAGCCCCACTTTTGCTGTAAGAAAGCCAGTGCTCCCCCAGCTGATCGTCTGCAATAAGCAAAGCCTTATTTCCAAACTTTCAAGCCCCAATTCTGCTGTAAGAAAGCCAGTGCTCCATCAGTTGATAGTCTGCAATAAGCAAAGCCTGATTTCCAAACTTTCAAGCTACCTCTCCTTCACACCTCATGTTCAGTCTATTGCCAAATCCTGCCGCGTCCATCTCAAGAACATTGCGCGCCTCCGACCCTACTTAAGGTCAGATGTGACTAAGGTGCTGCTCCATTCCACTGTCCTTTCTCGCCTTGACTACTGTAATCCGCTTCTCAGTGGTCTTACGTGCTCCCAACTTACAGTCCATAATGAATGCAGCGACAAGGCTCATCTTCCTGTCTGCCCGCACATCCCACACCTCACCCTTCTGTCGGTCCCTACATTGGCTTCCTGTAAGATATAGGGCTCAATTTAAAATACTTGTTCTTGCTTTCAAATCTCTATATAATGCTGCTCCCACCTATCTATCCTCCCAAACACACAAGTATGTCCCATCTAGGCCCTTACACTCTGCTGAAGACTTACGTCTATCTTCTGTCCATACACCCACCTCTGATGCTCACCTTTAAGACTTCTCGGGGCTGCACCATTCCTGTGGAACTCACTTCCCTCCTCAGTTAGATGCTCACCCAGTCTCCACTCCTTCAAAAATCATTAAAAACACACTTCTTCATAAAAGCACATCAATTAAACTGTTAATAGCTCCCGACGGATTCCTCAACTTGCAACTGTCATTAGTCTAATACTATCATTACCTTTTTGTGTCATTTTACCCCACTCCCTCTAGCATGTAAGCTCATTGAGCAGGGCTCTCAACCCCTCTGTTCCTGTGTGTCCAATGTGTCTAGTTACAACTACATGTTTGTTCGTCCACCCACTGTAAAGCGCTGCGGAATTTGTTGGCGCTATATAAATAATAACATAATAATAATAATAATAATATGGGTAGACTATGGATATAAAGGAATTAACAAAGTTGACTGTGGCATGCTGATGTTACTATACTATGTTGCTAACATCTTGTTACAGCACAAAGTGACATTCATTAGAACAAGTAGTGTTTTCAATTTTCTCTTGTCTGGTTTTGGTGCATCGGCATCAATTAGTGCTCTGAGTTTTCTATTCTTGGGTGACACATGGTGATTTTGAATTTGCTAATAATTCAAATAGTGCTCAGGATAGGTTCAGTGGTTGCTTAGTGTGCAAAATATTATAAGCAATTGAGCAATAAATAATATGGTCAATATTAACAGGGCTATTCCCTAAACACCCTAAATACTGGATTTTGTCCATATGGTTATGAGAATAATATTGACCGCATTGGCAATTGATAGATTTATTAAAGCCAGGTGCCGTCAGGAATCAATCCATGCTTGTCCGACCAATGCTGTATCATTTGGAAGGGATCAGCAAAAAATACGTAATATCCACACAAAACCAATGAAAAGCACAGGATTCAGATCTATATCAACAACCACATGATGATTGAATATAAAACAATTGTGTCTAGTAGGAAACACATGTAATTGCTTTTTGCAAGGGAATAATAAGTTGAAGGACTATTCGTCCACTGGAAGCTCCAGCAGCCAAGCCGGCGTTCCCTATAGGCCAACTAGGCGTCAGCCTTGGTCGCTGCTTAAGGGTGGTGCCAGCAGTGATTTTACTGTTTGTTTGGCCGCCCTTCTGTCAAGATGAATTAATTATTGAGAGCGTGCCTCCAGCCATGCTACCGGGCGCTAGGATGCACTTACATTGCTGCTGACTAGCGCCTGGTAGAACACTGGTCTGGCATCCACCTCAGCACGCTCAGCCAGGATCCCCTCCCAAACATCCAATGCTGTGGCAGCGCAAGGGCACTTTATTTCCTTGCTCCCGCCCCTTGTCCTGTGCATGGGGACAAGTGGGTGGGAGCATAGCATGAAGTGAAGTCGAGTCAGAGAGAATGATCCACCGCCAGGCAGCCAGGCGCACTGAAGATGCATGAAACAACAGCATATTGATATGTAAAATTAAGGTTAGAGGGTTAATGGGATCTCGCTGTGTGTCAATTTGCTTCAGTCATTATGTTTGTGTATGTCAGTTTGTATGGGTCAGTGTGTGTCTGTATGTGTTTCTGCATGGATTAGTGTGTGTCTGCATGGGTCAGTGTGTGTCTGCATGGTTCAGTGTGTGTATGTTTGTGTCTGCATGGGCCAGTGAGTGTCTGTATGTGCGTCTGAATGGGTCAGTGTGTGTCTGTATGGGTGTGTGTGTGTGAGTCTGCATGGGTGTGTGTCTGTATGTGTGTGTCTGCATGGGTGTGTGTTGGTATGGAACATTGAGTCTGTATGGGTCAGTGTGTGTGTATGTGTCATTGTGTGTCTGCATGGGTCAATGTGTTCGTCAGTCTGCATGGGTCAGTCTACATGAATTAGTGTGTATGTTTACTTGAGATGGTATGTGTGTCAGTCTGCATAAGTGAGTTGAGCGAATAGGTCTGCAAACCTCTGTGCACCAGTTCTGCCAGCGAGCAAATAGTAAAACAAATAAAGTTAAATTAATCTTAATCTAAATTAAAAAAAAAAAAAATTATGCTAGCCATTGGAATACTTGTTTCTTCTAATTCTTCTGTTCTTTAGCTCCAAAAAGGGCCAATTGAAAATCCATAATTCCCAACGCATCTAATGAAAATAAAAATAAAAAATAACCAAATAAGAAGAATAAGAAAAAAGAACAAACACACAATAAAATGAATCCATCAATGCTCATGGAGGCCTCACAACAGACTGTGCACTGATAATGGGCAAAGCCCTTTTAAACTGTGCTAGCAGGAAAAGGGACACTAGTTTCTTCCCCATAATTATTACAATAGCCCCAAACTGATGCCCATGGGGGAGCATGTGTTATTCATCTCCGTATTTTTTTTTCCATTTTAAGCAGTCAGAGCAAAATTGAATGTGTGATGTTAGAATAATGATAAGATCGTCATTCAAACGTATTCAAAGAATACCCCAGAATAGTAAAGTTCTCCAGTTTAGATATATACAGTAGGTTATTTTAGCCTACAATTTGCAATTCAGGTTTCAATTCATTACTATTCAGAGTTAACTGAATAAACCCTATTGTCATAGGCGTGCGCACGGGGTGTGCCGGGTGTGCCTGGGCACACCCTAATCCCCCCGGCACGCCTATGCATATTGAGACCGGCAGGGGAGATCTCAGGATCTCCCCTGTCGGCTCATGCAGAGCCGGCGCTATCCGAGCGCCGGCTCTGCTCTCAGCCTCCCTCCCCACTGACCCACATGCAGGGAGGGAGGCAGGAGAGGACCCAGCGGAGCTATTGCCGGCAGCTCCGCCGGGTTCCTCTCGCGAGATATGAGCGTTGCCACGGCAACGCTCAAATCTCGCGAGAGTGAACTCTAGCCCCACAGGGGCTAGAGTTCACTCTCCACTGGACCACCAGGGATCACAGCAGCAAGGATCCCCTCCTCCACTGGACCACCAGGGAAGGAAGCAGCAGCACGATCCCCCCTCCCTACAAAAGGTAAGAAGGGAGGGGGATAGCAAATAATGTACCCCCACCTCCACCCCCCACAATCACCCACCCACATACATACAACACACACAGCACACACACATACAGCACCCACACACATTCAGCACCCACAGACATACACAGCACCCACAGACATACAGCACCCACAGACATACACAGCACCAACATACATTCAGCACCCACAGACATACAGCACCCACAAACATACACAGCACCCACAGACATACACAGCACGCACCCATACACAGCACCCACAGACATACACAGCACCCACACACATACAGCACCCACAGACACACACAGCACAGCACCCACACACATACAGCACCCACAGACATACACAGCACCCACACACACATACAGCACCCTCACAAACACACACAGCACCCTCACACACACACAGCACACTAACAGTACCCTCACAAACAGGATCCTAACAAACACACACACAGCACACTACCAGTACCCTCACACACAAACAGCACCCTCACACACAGTTCATTAACAGCACCCTCACAAGCGCACACACACACACACACACACAAACAGCATCCTCACACACAGTACATTAACAGCATCCTCACAAGCACGCACACACAAACACCCTCACCCACATAGCACACTACCAGCACCGTCACACACACATCACACTAACAGCAACCTCACACAGCACACACACACACACACAGCAGTGTGTGTATGTGTGTATATATGTGTGTGTGTATATATATATATATATATATATATACACACACATATATATATATATATATATACATACATACATACATATATATATACGCGGACGCACGACTATGCCTATTGTATTTATGCAAATGTATGGCCAAAGTAACCACACAGGTAGCACAGCTGCGATGAAGGATTTTCCCCTCATTTTGGTTTGGTTTGAATTCCTGACATGTTTCACTTTTGTGAATAAACCTGAATGTGTTTGCATGTGTTTGTATATGTGTGTGTATGATTTCTATGTGTATCATCATGTGATCCTATTTTTTTTTTTAAATATTCAAACTAAATAATCTAAAAAATAAAATATAAACATACAAAAATTTTAACATATTGCTGGGTGATGTATCCTGAACCCCTTGATAGAATGATTTCCAAATTTTAATCAATCTCTTCTTCCCATGATATTATGTTTATATAATGAAATTATATCATAATATATTATTTTATATTTTATAGATGTAGTATTATAACATCTGTCAACATACATTATTTAAGATACTCATTTAATACAATATACCCACACATATACACATGTTTAATTTATGTTAATTAGTAAATTCTGAATCCAATTATCAAATATAATTATATGCAACAAAATGTAGTTGTTATGGTCATTCATTTTGCCAGAAAACAGCACTCTCCCGCTGTACATGCAAACATTTTTGCTTGTGAATCATGTCACAACAGAAAACGATGAATGTCATCCTGTGGGGTTTGTTTGTTTGACTTTTTATAAATTAGAGAGCTAACACAAGCAATAGACTAATCGGACTGCCAGAAACAGTGTGCAAGGGCTAATCCATCTTCTTTAAAAACTGCTGACAAGGTAACTAAAGATTGCCTGGATCTCTCATTACTATTTTCATTGTGAAACTCTGTGCCAATCATGTTTATTGCTTGATGTAGATACAGTAGGGCTTGCATTAGGTTTATTCTGTTCTGTATTTCATTCTGTTTTTTTTTAATTTTTTTTTTTTTATATATATATATATACCGGTTTGTTATTATGATGCAATATGGAACCTAATACACATATATTTTACTTGCAGTTCTAAATTATATATTGTAAGAATTATGTTCCTACAGTAATTATCGAACAATTTTTAACAGAAATGTGTTTGTATTTTAATAGAATAAAGTAATAATTTTAAATATTTTTTGCTCCCATTGTTTTCTAAATCTTGCATACCAAAACCATTCACTACCAAGTGATTTTTGTAAGAATAAAACAAAATGATAAAAAATAAAATAAAAAATATGGTATGCGTGCCTAATACATGAAATGAGCAAAAAATGTGTAATTTATTTTACACGTTATTGTTCAATCTGTATAATAAAATAATGCATACAGTATATTTATTTAAATCTAACCTATTTGTGATTTCTCAGGTGCATAGATCCCCCCTCCTGTATGCTGCTATTGCAGTTCACTATAGTGCAAGACTGGGCATGATGTCTAATATATTTCCTCTTATGAACAGCTCTAAAAAAAAGGTGAATGTATGGAAAATGGGTGAATATCCATCATCCACAAAGGGACCCGGCTGATTTTATCCCCAACATGCCTGATTTAGGATCTCTTTTACAGATCAAGCGTTGAGAATGAGATCTACAGTAAAAATCCTTCTGTCCATTAATTTATATATAATGTCATGATACCCCACATAATTAGGAAGAATACGATAAAATAAATGGTAATTGGGGGCAAGCCCAGAACATTCATTTCTAACCAGTTGTGCAGCCATAAGGACCAAACTCTATACAAAATACAGTTAAAAGAACACACTATAATAAAGATACAGCTTTAAATTTGACAAAGATACTTAAAATCAACTATCTTAGCAAACAAATATTGGGATTCAGTTACACTATATAGACATATTTTTTTTTTGAAAATCTGTTTTTATTGAGAATTTTACATCAGAAAGAAGTAACAAAGAGAAGAATCGTGAGAGACACGCAGGTCTCTGTCATGGAGTGAACATGTGTACATTGCCTACATTGTGCTTATTATCGAAAGCTTAGGAGATGACATGAAGTATGGTGTTCCAGGCTGTCAAACTTAGCCTTGTGATTTATGCCCCTATTAGTTTCTTTCCCCCTCTTCCTTCCCAGTTCGGTGGGGCGCCCATTTCCATGTCGCAGGCAGTTTGTGCCTCGCATGAGCTTGCGACTCTTACTTAGATCTCGGAGCCTGTGTCAAGTGAAAATTGTGTGTTACTGTCCCCAGTAGAGTGTTATCAAGCAGTGTTGTAATCTAAATTCATTTCTGAATGGTCTGTTCAGGGTTTAATTAGTGTCAGTGTCAAGAGTTATTAGGCTTTGTGGCTAAGTGGGTGTGTCCATTGCCTCTCCTTTCTTCTGTATCCTTAGGTTTGTGGTTATGTATATTGTTTTACCATGTCGAGCGTGTAGATATAGAAAGATACTAAAGAGGCAGTAAAGATAGGTAAGTTAGGTAAGAGTAAGCCATGGTCCATGTTAGGTGGTGCCCGGACCCGCCGATGCAACGCCCCTGGAGCCCCCCCCCCCTCCCACGAGTAACGGGGCATGTATAGAAATCATGGCCGTCACGTCTCTGTGTGTTTGGCCTCCCTTCCTGTCAGAGTGGCATGGAGTGCTACTGCCCCCTGGATGTCCTCCACCCACCGTATCCACTCTTTTTTTGTTGGGACTTCTGTTTTTTTCCAGTAGACCGGGATGCTGGCCTTGGCAGCATTCAGCAGATCAAGATCGATTTCTTATAGAGTGAGATCGGTTGTGGGGAGATATGTAAAAGTGCGAGGTCAGCTGACCATTCAGACATGTCCCGCAGAGCCAGTGTCACCGTTTCTTTTACCATTTCTCAGTACGGGGCTATGTCACGGCATTCCCACCATATATGTAAATGTTAATCAGCAGATCAAGGGGCAAATGATCAATACAGGGAAAAAAAGCAGAGCAATGAAATCAAACTATACTTTGAAGTAGGATTTTTTAAACCTTTTTTTACTGCAGCTACTGAGGTAGACAGACCAGCAGTGATATGGTGTGTTTTACACTCCTATGCTTGTGTGGGATTGGGAGTCACTGTGGTGCTCAGTTAAAAAAGAAAAAAAAAATGTTCTTCTTGCCTAGTTCGGGTCATTGATTCTACAGTGAAACTAGGTTTTGCTTACTGCTGTATCTTGCAAGCTACTGCCAGGGACACTTACAACAACCTTGAGTGAGATATTGATATTAAGAGATTACCATTTTGTCATTAAAGTTGCAAGAAAAAGTATGTGAACCCTTTGGAATGATATGGATTTCTGCACAAATTGGTCATAAAATGTGATCTGATCATCATCTAAGTCAAAACAATAGACAATCACAGTCTGCATAAACTAATAACACACAAAGAATGAAATGTCGCCATGTTTTTATTGAACACACCATGTAAACATTTACAGTGCAGGTGGAAAAAGACTGTGATTGTCTATTGTTGTGACTTAGATGATGATCAGATCACATTTTATGACCAATTTGTGCAGAAATTCATATCATTCCAAAGGGTTCACATACTTTTTCTTGCAACTGTATCTATACTGTTGAAATGGAGTAGTAGGGGAGATGGTGAGGATAATGCCAGTAGACTATAGAGGCAGATTTGACAGGAACAGTTAGAATCCTTGTTATAAGGTGAATTACAGACAAAAAAAATAGGAAACAAAAATGGGGGGGAGGGGGAATAATTTTGCCTAGCTGCTACTGGCAGTGCAATTTACAATTAACTTGATCAACTTGTTTAGAATTGTTTTACTGATTTGTGATTATTTCATTTTATGTTGTTTATTTTACTCCTAGTAAGCTATTTCTTCTTTGATTTGTAATGTGCTTCTGTGCCAATGATTGTGCTTTGGAAATCTTCTTCCCTCAGTGTGTGGCTGCAGTTTACTGTTCGAGTGAACTCTATATACACTGAGTGTGGTAAGTCCATTTTTAACTCTGTAGAAAAGAAATATTAAAACATGTGATGTGGCCTTCCCCTTGTTCACTTCTCTCTCAAAAAAAAGTATTAATTACTAACTAATAAATTAACAAGTGTTCCCCCTTTTAAAAAATTTAATTGTAATTACCGTATTTTCCGGTGTATAAGATGACTGGGCGTATAAGACGACCCCCAACTTTTCCAGTTAAAATATAGAGTTTGGGATATCCTTGCTGTATAAGACTACCCCTCTTCCAATGTACACCAAATAAAAATTAGCCATGATGTACAGTGAGCAGACAGAGCTACACAGCAAGACATTAAATAATGATACTCTGAAA